GGATGCAATACCTAGACTTTTTACGCAACATTTTGCCTTCCTTGTTTGCCTGCGTCTGCTCGGTAGCGCATCAGCTGATTTCATTTTCTGTTGGAGCGGTATGATTTCGGGCAGAGACGTACTTAGCCCTTCTCGTCAACTGGAGAGTGAGTACTTTTTCCTTTATTTTTTTTATCAACGACCTCCTTTCCTGTACGATCAATCCGATCCTCAGCTTTGCTGGTGACAGCACTCTTGCGACTGATCGATGACTCTTCTCTTCATCCAGAACTGGCCGATACGACCGCTCGTTTGACCCGAGGGTATCGAGATCTACCTGAGGAGGCTTTTCCCTGTTATACTAACCTCAAGCGCATCAAAAATCAGATGAACAAGGTATTTTTTATATCTACTCGGCTGATTTGGTGTAAAATAATAAACTGGGCCGCCCTGTACGAAAGACGAAAGCTAACACGAAGAGCGATATACGAACGATACGTTTTATCGATTAGGAAGAGTTTTGTTTGTACTATCTATAATTAACCATGAAAGCTCTGCAATAACATATATTGGAGACAATCGAGAACGAATGCGCGTCGTCGGTATCATCACTGAATGCAATTCGACTCGTCTAATTGGATGGATGAAATGGCAAAAAACACTATGTAGGAAGATTATAATAAATTTCACATGGCTGACACTCCGGTACTGAGCGTCGCCAATAGGCGCTCCTTGTTGGGATCGGTGGTGGGGGAGTCGACAAACACGACGGTGTTGCCAAATTTCGCCTAACATCACGCGCGGTAAAGTCACCGCGTAGGGAATCCTATTTTTGGAACAACCCTCGTATATCTGTCTCTATGTAAAATGCGTTGAACTTCCGAATCAATAAAGTTAAATAGTGTTATAAGTCCGGTCTACATAGTGGAATTATATAATTCGTCAAATTGCATTCGCGATGGTACACCTGGCAAAAACAATAAATATAAACATAACAAGTAGCAACAAAGTTTAGCAACCTTTTGCATTTGGATGATTCATACGATAGTGAAATTCAATTGTCTTGCTGTGTATTCGATTTTTGTAATGTCTATTATTTAGCTGAAAAATGATATTGTTTAGATTACTGTATCTGAAATAGTCGATCATGCAGTCATTTATCTAGACTCGCGATCGACAAGCTTACGTAGCACTTAGTCGTATAGGATCTTTAGACGGTATTCGGATTGAAGAACTTGATTGCTCTAACTTAACAGGAAATACCCCATGCAACAGCGAAGCTTTAAATGAAATGATTAGATTACGAAATGATTCGTAAGACATTTCAATACCACATGAAAAAATGAATAATAATTTAAGGGTGAATTTCAGCAGGATTGTCAAATCAACAGTCCGTTATTCTCCACCTTTAGGTGAATGAGCTTCAAGTTCCTATCAACAAATTTTAGCAACCAATAGCTATAAAATGTGTATTTAATATTGTCGATTGTTTATTAATGTTTATATTATTTTCTTCAATTGATATGCGATTTTACCGTGTGTTCTTTTACTATAAAACCTCTTGCAGATAGCCATTAAGCACTTACTTGATGACAGGCTCTACCAAAAATTTCATAGATATTGCTCGTTTCCAAACATTAATTCATTTATCATCAGTACCATTATAGCACCGCCCATTGATATTCCTACAAAACCATACAGGATTTTTGATATCCATACATCCATAGTCAAATATTTTTTGGTTGTTCAGGAACTGAACAAACATCCACACTATATTTACAGCGATTAAGAAATTCTCAAATATAAGTCGTAAAGCTACCCGCAAACTTAAAACCTGCAAACAAATAGAATTTGTAATAACTTTCTTGTTTTACTGAGTACACATTCTAGGTTATATTTATATT